GGCCCCAGGAGGGGCCCCATGCTATAAAGTCAGGGTTTGTGCATTCTATGAGTTGATTTGCTGCTGCTGCTGCTAGCTGCTGCAGCTGCTGCAGCTGCTGCAACGGCTGCTGCTGCTGCATCGGTTGCTGCTGCAGTTGCTGCAGCTGCTGCAGCTGCTGCAGCTGCTGCAGCGGCTGCAGCTGCTGCTGCATAGACTCAACTACCCCAAGAGGGGGCCTCCACCTGTACCTCAGCCCTGCTACTTGATCTGCTGCTGCTGCTGCTGCTGCTGTTGCTGCTGCTGCTGCTGCTGCTGCTGTTGCTGCTGTAGAGGTACCTGCTGCTGCTACGTCGGCCGGTGTTGCTGCTGCTGCTGCTGCCTCCCTGGCAGGTGCAGAGTTCTGGTAGAATGTTGCTGCTGCATCTGTACGCGGTGCTGCTGCTGCTGCTGCTGCTCCTGTTGCTGCTGCTGCTGCTGCTGCTGTTGCAGGTGTTGCTGCTGCTGGATGGCTAGCTGCAGCAGCTGTATGAAGCGCCGAACGTTGCGTGATAGACAGGCTGCTGCACCAGCTCCTTGTTGCTGCTGTTGCTGCTGTTGCTGCTGTTGCTGCTGCTGCTGCTGCTGCTGCTGCATTGCTGCTGCTGCAGCAGCAGGGGGGCCCCCACAGATGGGGGGCCCCGAAGGACCTCAGAGAGGCCGCATGCAAACAGCCAACAGCAAAAGGGAGGGAACGCCGAGACATGCCTGCTGCTGCTGCTGCTGCTGCTGTTGCTGCTGCTGCTGCTGCTGCTGCTGCAGTTTGTGCTGCTGCAGCTGCAGCTCCTGCAGCTACTGCTGCAGGAAGGTGCAAGGAGCTGTGTCTTGATTATACTTTTACATGCCGACAGTTGCTGCTGCTGCTGCTGCAGCTGCTGCTGTCGCTGCTGCTGCTGCTGCTGCTGCTGCAGCTGCTGCAGTTGTGTTAGAGGTAATGTGTTGTTTATATTTTTTTTATTTTTATTTTTTAATTAAATAAAAAAAACAAAAAGCAGCAGAATAAATTAACTATCACCGAGCCCCGCATGCAGCCCCACAGTCTGCTACTTCTGTTGCTGCTGCTGCTGCTTCTGCTGCTGCTGCTGCTGCTGCTGCTGCTGCTGCTGTTAGCTTTGCTGCTGCATGCAGTTTATAAATTTTTATTTGGCGGCGTCTTTGGCTTATTAGGGAGTTTTGTGTTGGAGGAGGGTTTACACGCATCCTTATATTTCCTTTTCTCTTGCTGCTAGGGTTTAGGGTTTAGGGTTTTTTAGGGTTTAGGGTTTAGGGTTTTTTAGGGTTTAGGGTTTAGGGTTTTGTATATTTTCATCGACATATATAACTCTTTCTTGTTTTCTCTTCTCTAAACCCTCTTTCTCTCCCTCTTCTTTTTTTTTCTCTCTTTATAATTACAAACTAGGGTTTAGGGTTTATTAGGGTTTACTAGGGTTTACTAGGGTTTATTAGGGTTTAGTGTATATAACAATATAAACAAAATAAATCTATAAACATCTAAAACCCCCCAACCCCGCTAAAAAAACCACAAACCACCGCATAAACCCCAAACCCTCCCCCCCCAACCCCCAAACCCTAAACCCTAAACCCTAAACCCTAAACCCTAAACCCTAGACTGTAACCCATCAAAAGAAAGAGAAAAGAAAAAATAAAAAGAAGATGTCAGTATTACAAAAGATAGCAGAGGTGGAGAATGAGATATCTCGTACACAAAAAAATAAAGCAACAAATTACCATTTAGGTTTATTAAAAGCAAAACTAGCAAAATTAAAAAATCAATTAATCGAAGGAAATACAAAAAAAGGAGCAGCAGGAAATGCTGATGGTTTTGACGTTGCGAAGACAGGAGATGCTAGGATTGGGCTTGTTGGGTTTCCTTCTGTCGGTAAAAGTACCCTTCTTAATAAACTCACCGGTGAGATATTATACCTGCTGCTGCTGCTGCTGCTGCTGCTGCTGCTGCTGCTGCAGCAAGAGCGAGAACGAGAGGAGTTGTAGTTGTATAGTTATAGTATTAGAGAGGATTGACGGGAGATGCTAGGATTGGGCTTGTTGGGTTTCCTTCCGTCGGTAAAAGTACCCTTCTTAATAAACTCACTGGTGAGTTGTTGCTGCTGCTGCTGCTGCTGCTGCTGCTGCTGCTGCTGCAAGAGCGAGAACGAGAGGAGTTTTAGTTGTAGTTTTATAGTTGTAGCTAGGATTGGGCTTGTGGGGTTTCCTTCTGTCGGTAAAAGTACCCTTCTTAATAAACTCACTGGTGAGCTGCTGCTGCTGCTGCTGCTGCTGCTGCTGCTGCTGCTGCTGCTGCTGCTGCAGCAGCAAGAGCGAGAACGAGAGGAGTTTTAGTTGTATAGTTGTAGCTAGGATTGGGCTTGTCGGGTTTCCTTCGGTAGTACTCTTCTTAATATATATATTATTAGTAGCAGCAGCAGCAGCAGCAGCAGCAGCAGCAGCAGCAGCAGCAGGTGTAGTAGTAGTTGTAGTAGTAGTGGTAGGAGGCATTGCGGTGCTGCAGTTGTTGCTGCTGCAGTATTTGCTGCTGCTTCTGTTGCTGGTGTTGTTGCTTCATTTGCAGTTGCAGCAGTTGCTGCTGCAGGTGCTGCTGCAGTTGTTGCTGCAGTTGTTGCTGCTGCTGCTGCTCATACTACTGCTGCTGCTGCTACTCATACTGCTGCTGCTGCTGCTGCTGCTGCTGCTGCTACTCATATTGCTGCTGCTGCTGCTGCTGCTGCTGCTGCTGCTGCAGGTACTTTTAGTGAGGTTGCTGCATACGAGTTTACAACTCTGACTTGTGTGCCTGGCGTCTTTTATTATAAAGGAGCAAAAATGCAGCTTCTAGATTTACCAGGAATCATAGAAGGTACGAGGGTTTAGGGTTTAGGGTTTAGGGTTTAGGGTTTAGGGTTTAGGGTTTGGGGTTGGGGGTTAGGGGGGAGGGTTATAAAAGAGCAAAAATGCAGCTTCTAGATTTACGAGGGTTTAGGGTTTAGGGTTTAGGGTTTGGGGGGGGAGGGGGTTTAGGGTTTAGCAGCTAGCTAGATAAAA